AAAGAGTGCCTCGTCAGCTTTCACAGTTGCATTGGATTCCCCACTCTCCTCAAAAACTTGCTGGCATACCTGCCTCTAGAGATACTCAACACTATTGATTTGCAAGAGTTGACATCCAATGATTTTCTCTGAGGAAATCCATTGGTTGATATTTGGTTAGTGATTTAACATGTAACCCTCCAACAATTCTGGAATTACCTGCAAAGACCAGTAAGATCCGAAAGTATTTCTCACACCTACTCATATCTTCCTGGGAATCTATTAGGATACTTGGGTGCAGCCATCAATTGCCAAAACTAAACATGTGACAGAGTGTATTTTCATTGCTGTGTCAGAGAAAGTAAGTGTGTGGAAATTATCACCTCCTCTGATGCATTGTTTGTGTTTTCCAGAATGCTTTTCCCCCCTGCATCTCTGTGTCACACTGCTCCATATCCTAGAGTAAGTCTGATTCAGAAGACGAATCCAATGTTGCAGCACACGGAATGCAGAATGTTCTTCTTGGGTAACAGTAGTGGGTATAGAAAAATACTTAAATTAAGCCAGGGTGATTAAAAAAGGAAATGGAACATGAAGTTGATTGGAAAGCTTAGTCATTTCATATTGAACGTCCAGGTAAGAGTTGCAGGATTTTGAATGGATTTGTACCATGTATCCCCATGAAATTTCACTTAACATTTCATGAATTCAACATGATTTAGTTCAATTCCATGTTTAGATATCTGGGTATAATTGCTTCTGAATGCAGCTGGTTGATCACTATTTTGACGTATTTCTTTGATGAAAAGCTAGGAGAGTAGTATAGTCAGAGGTGTAGTCATCATCATCTTGGAGCGGTGTTACCTGGGACAGTTGGGTTGTTGAAAATAAGATATCATGGCAGTTATAATACCAGAGTTATTTTGGCTTGGTCAAAACTATGCCATAAATAGAATATGCCTTCTACTTGTGTCACCCCTGGGTTTCAGCCTCTGATTAACTAAATGGTATATAAAGGACTATCATCTTTAAACTTCAAATCTTGTTTGGTGTGATTGTTAGTAATTTCATGCAATGCTGCTGTGATGTGTTTCAATGCCTTAATCCTAGCAAGGATATAGAAGTTGATTCTAGAAATGATTTTAGAGCAACCTACAAACTGACACAATATAAAACTCTTGAAAATATATTTCAAATGACTAGGTAAAAAACTGCATAAACACAAACTGACTCCTGCAGGCCTGGAACTCTTTATATACAATGGACAGATGAGGAAGTCAGAGATCTATCTGCCTCTACCTCTTGGTGCTAGCATTAAAGCTGTTGGCCACCATCTGCTTACATTTCATCTTAACTTAATTTTATTAACCGCAATGATTTTTGGGAGGCTAGAGTTGTGATATATCAACTTGCCAAAATAGAGAATAACTGTTCCTGACAGAAAAAATCTAATGGCATGTAAGCTGCTTTATAACTTTGGACTAAATGAGGAAAAATTGACCATGCTTGTACACACCTCCAAACCAGCCCTTGGGAGGTAGAGGCAGAAGATCAGTAGTTCAGAATTAAGCTAGGCATCATAGTAAAGTTTAATTTATTCTGAATAACACTTAAAAATTAAACTGGTTGGTCATAATTTTCATTTAAGTCTTTGATTAATATATAACATAATGGTACACTCTCAGCAGTACTTATAATCAGCATGGAATTATTTCACATGGGACAGCTGGTCTGACTAAAGTAAGACATCATGACAGGTGTACTACCAGAGTTGTTATGGTTTGGCAGAAAACAATGCCATAAATAGTTTGAGCCTTCTACGTGCGTCACACTGGGTTTATCGTATGACCAACTAACTGGTATATTAAGTACTGTAATTATTAAATGAAATATTTATACTTCAGTTCTTGTTTAGTTTGTTTGTTTCTAACTTTATTCAATCTAGCTGTGATGTGTTACAGTGCCTGAATCCTAACAAGGATATGGAAGCTTATTCTAGAAATGATTTTAGAGCAATCTGCAACCTGCCTGACACAATGCAAAAACACTTAGAAATATGCTTTAACAGAATAGGTAAACAACTGTATAGATAATACCTGAATTTTTCAGGCCTGAAACTCTTCATGTAGAATGAGCTGACAAGGAACTCAAGACATCTACTTGCCTCTACCTCCTGGTACTCTCATTAAAGCTGTGTGTCACCACGTACTTCCATGGTTATTTTGTTAACTGCAATGATCTCTAGTAATCAAGGCTTTTTACATTTATGGGAGGCTACATTTTTGAGGCTACTACAGTCATGAAAAGCTGCTCTAGTAAGTCTGCTTACCCTTTCCTTGGAATACTGTAGTAACACCATTCTTACTTTTTAAATTTAGAGATTTTAATTCTGTGTTTATAGAATTGATGTTTCTACTGGTAGTGTAATTGTAATTTTACTATAGTAGGTATACAGTCTTTTTTTTTTCAAACAAGGAGCAACTGTAAACTGCCCATGCCAATACTAGGACAGGCACATATAACTTAGGCAGTACCCAAGTCTCAAACTCTAAAAGTTTTGTAATTAGATATGGTTAATAAACAACATAGAATGTTTTAATATTAAACGTTCAGATTGATGGGACCACATTCTCCTGGTTTAAATCCTTCTACTTTCTTGATTAATAATTTTCTTCACCTAAGTAATAACTTGAGCAACCTTTTAGGAATTACTTGCAAACAGCCTCCTCAGTGAAGAATCTAAACATGCGGACCCTTTCTAGTGTCCTAGAAAGAGGAATATGATTTCTTCTTTCATAAATGTAAATATTTCTGCCTGTGGCAAATTCATGTATTCTATGGTAGTCTTTCAACAAAATGTTTATTGTGGCTTTTATGGATATTGTAAACTCTATGAATAATGTGCCAAATAGTGTACCAATTCAGTATCTTTGGCAGAAATGGGGATTATAGAGATAGATCCAGGCTGTTGTGCATGCTGAGGAAGCTACAGTCCATGATTAGCTTAGATAACTTTTAGTGAATTATTCATTGGCAGCAGTTTCACATTTTAATATTTTTCCTGTCTCTAGCCTAATCATTTACAAGAGCTGGCAATGATTGCCATTTTTCTTCTTTATGCTTTTCCTTAAAAAACAAACTGATTATACACATTAACTTGGTGAGATAGGAATTGGTCATTTAGAAATATGATCATCTTCTGAAGTCAGCAGAATTTATTTTAAGCTTCAGTCTGTCTAACTACTTATGAATCCCATGTTTACCCAGCTAATGAACTCTTAGAGTTTCAGAATCAGTAAGGGCTTGACTTTGACATGTAGCAAAGGCTGGCTTTTTGTAAAACTCTTACCTTGCCTTCCCAGCTGAAGGAATCACATGTGTAAACCTTGGGCCTGTCTCAGTATTTTATTAGAAATGTGTCAATAGTGCCTCTTGTTATAAAAATCTTGGTGTCTAAATCTCTCTTGCCAATATCAAAAAGAAATGTACATTGTAATAAGAAAAAATTTTAAATTGATTAAACAGGTGTCCTATTACTGACATCTAAAAACTGTATTAAGAAGTAAATTTTGATATTAGTAATATTGTATCCTCCCTGCTGTTCCATTGCTCCCTGTAAATAACACAGACCTAGCAAGTTGTAGGCTTTTCTCTCAGCCTTGCTCTTCCTTGAATTCTATTGAAAAGTATTTCTCTTTTTGACCTGGTTTATAATACAGCCTGTAGCTTTCACCAATGTTTACCCTTTCATTGCTTTTTGAAAAAGCATACAGACCAAAAATTCAAGTTTTAGAAACAGCTATTTTCATAAATACAAATGTTTATTATGTAAGTTTTCATTTCTATGCTTGTTATTGAGTTTACCAGTAAAAGTATATATGGAAAAGTATTTACCTGCGTTTTTTAATTTGTTCATTTATTTTCAAGACAAGGTTTCTCTGTATTGTTTTTGGAGGCTGTCCTGGAACTCTCAGTAGACCAGGCTGGCCTCGAACTCACAAAGAACTGCCTGCCTCTTCCTCCCAAGTGCTGGTAATAAAAGCGTGTGCCAACAATGACCAGCTAACCTGCATTTATTTTTAAAGTGCCTAATTTTTACCTAAATGATTTTCCATTTTGCTAAATGTAGATATTTTATTATAAGCACTGCTCTTTACTTACACAAAATTATATGATTTTAAGTAAGACTAGGCATGTAACTACAGTACAGGGAACTTTGTAGGTGCTGGAGAAACAACATAGGATTAAACTAGGCCCCCTAACATGGGTGTCAGTTAGGAGGAACACACATACACATATGATTGACACCTCCCCTCCATTATTAAGGTAATGCAATAAGCTCATTTGTTCCTAAATTTCAAATTTATTGAAACCATGCTGGTTTGCTATTTGAACCCTATTACACAGAAGCATTAGACCTGTTTATACCATATCAAGGAAAGTAAATACAGCAAGAATGTAAATAATTTATCAGTACAAATCACTGCGACTTCTGGACTATATGAGTCACTGTTTTAAGTAAAAGAAATTCACCTTGTAATTTCAGCAGGATGGCCAGCAAACATAGACATCTGACAATTTCTGCTTCCCAAGTTCTGGGATTGCTAGACTGATTCTCAGGTTTATTGTAGAGATAAAACCCAGCGGTTCATACCACATGTAATATAAGTCTATTGCTTAATGACCATCTATACAGCTATTGTATTTTGGCTTTATGTAAAATAAAACACTTTACTCTAACCCAAGAAACTGACCGTAACAAAAGCTTTGAGATCCTACGGTTTTTCTCTGTTCCATCTCTAACGCTATTCCCACAGTTCCCACCAAGATTCAACTTAACATTTCTGGATCCTGCACTGAAATCTGAGTTAATGGAAAAGTGGGCTGACCCCTGTAATCCTTAGATATGCAGTGTAAAATGAGAAGCAAAGAGGACTCTCCCACATATTCCATGTCACGCATGAATTAAACATCTGTTAAAGATCTCAGCTACACTTGAACTGTATTGCAGAATGCTTGAACACATTTTCAGTTCATGAGGTGATGAAAGTCCATATTTCATTTAACCTAGAGAAAGTGGTGACCGAGCAGCAGAACGCCCCCTAGGCCAGTAACCTCCTACACAGACCTCACTTCCGGCTCCCGGAAGTGCCACGGTGGCAGTTGGGAGCAGCCAGGGAATCCAGACAGATGGGTGAGGCTACAATCAGAGACACTGAACTCAGCTGCTCCTTCCTCAGCATGTAGTCCAAGGCTCTGGAGTCAAAGCTGGAGGGGAGCTGGAAGGGAGATGGAAGGGAATGCAGAGGAGCTGCTTGGATCCAGGGTGCTGCTGCTGTCGCTGCTGCTGCTGCTCTAAAACCATCAGACAATGCTTCCAGGGCACTGAGGAGCTGCCTCCCCCACCTCCAGCTCCCGGACATGAGCAGAGACCCGCTCATGGAGCTAGGAACGGAGCTCCTGTGGCTGCTGCTGCCCCACAGCCAAGCATCTGACATCCCTGCCAGGGAGGTGAGCAGCAGCCTCCCCCACCTTCAGCTCCTGGACAAGAGCAGGGAGAAGCTCATGGCCCTGGGACCCCAGCTGCTGACTCAGTGCATCCTGAGCATGCTGATGGACAGGAACAACAGGCTTGACAACACAGGCTTGCTGCTGGAGGGACTAGCCCAGTTGCCACTCTGTCTCAGACTCCAGGTACTCAGCCTCACAGGCAACTGCTTCTAGGAGGGGCTTGACTATCTGTGGGAGGGGGAGCCCTGTGCATGCTTAACCTGGGCTGTAACAAGCTCCACAGTATCCTCGCTGAGATGGTTACCTTTGAGAATTTAGAATGTTTATACCTTTGATGATACTATTAAAGAATTAGCAAATCTCCCTTCTCTCAGTTATTGGTGTTATGTGACCACAAAATCCAAAGGGTTCCTCCTCAGCTTTCATAGTTGCATTTTTTTTCCCATTCTCCTCAATGACTTGCTGACATACCTGCCTCTGGAGATCCTCAACCCTATTCATCTTCAAGAGTTGAGATATCGAGGAAATCCATTGGTTGTTCAATTTGTTAATGATATAGCATAGATCCTCCAACTCTTCTGGAATTACTAGCAAAAACAATTAAATTCCAGAAGTACGTCGGTCATTCACTTGTATCTTCCTGGGACTCTGCTAAAATACTTGCTTTCTGCCAGCAAGTGGTGAAACCCAAAGTATCGGAGAGTGTATTTTAACTGCTCAGTCAGAGTAATAAAGTATGTGTGCTACTATGGGAAGAGTCATCTCCTCTGATGCATTGTTTGTGTTCTCCATAATGTTCTTCCCCCTGCAGCTCAGCCTCAAGGAGCTCCACATCTCAGAGTGAGTCCATCTCAGAAGATGAAGCCAGTGTTGCTACACATGGAATGCGGAATGTTCTTCTTGGTTAACATCAGTGGGTGTAGAAAATTACTAAAACTAATGAAAGATGATTATAAAAGAAAATGGAGTGTGAATTTTATTGTAAAACTTAGTGGTTTCATCTTGAAGATCCATGTAAGAGTTACAAAGATGTGAAACTTTTTGCATTTCATGTATCTGTTCAGCATGATTGAGTCTACTCCTGTGTTTAGAATTTTTTAGTATAATTTATTGTAAACAGCAGTTCAAAATTCAGCTTGTTGGTCAAAATTTTCACTTAAGTCTTTGATGAAAAGCAAACAGAATGGTATATTCAGAGGTGCTGTCATAATCAGCCTGGAGTGGTGAAACCTGGGACAGTGGGGTTGACTAAAGTAAGACATCAAGACAGTTATACTACAGAGTTGTTCTGGTTTGCCCTAGAAGTATGCCATAATCAGAATGATCGTTCTCCTCGCGTCATTCCTGGGCTTCAGCCTCTGACTAAGTAACTATATTAAGCACTATCTCTTTTAAATGGAGTATTTAACCTGCTCTTGTTTTATGTGATTGTTAGTAACATGTATTCTAGCTATGATGTTACAGTGCCTTAATACTAGCAAGGACATAGAGGCTTATTCTAGAAATGATTTTGAAGCAACCTACAACCTGACACAAAACAAAAACATTTGAAAATGTACTTTAGCAGACTAGGTAATCAATTGTATACATAATCCTGAGTCCTGCAGGCCTGGAACTCTTTTGGTAGAATGTGCTGACCAGTGCCGCTGAGAAATACCTGCCTCTGCCTCCTGGTCCTGGCATTACAGATGTGCATGACCACCTACTTACATTTCATTTTAACTTCATATTGTTAACTGCAATGATCTCTTGTAATCATGCCCTTTACATTTCTGGGAGGCTAGGGTCTTGATACATCAACTTGCCAAAAGACAGAATAACTTTACTTGACAGAAAAATCTAATGGCAAGTAGTATGAAGAAAAGCTGCTTTATAACATTGAAGTACATGAAAGAAAGTTGGACATGGTTGTGCACACCTCCAAACCAGCTCCTTGGAGATAGAGGCAGAAGTTCAGGAGTTCAAAGTTAGTGCAGGCATCATAGTAAAGTTGAGGCCAGCCTGGACTATATGCCTGAGACCTTGTTTCTACATTTGAAAGAAAAACCACAAATAGTTTAACCTAACAGTTGAAGATAGTCAGAAATAAAGCTCATTGTATCCATTCACAATACAGTAGTTCACAAAGTTGTTTTAATCATTGCACATTACGAAAGTTGTATTGATAAAACATGAATGAAAATACTAAAATGATGTAAGTTAAAGTGTAGGAGAAAAAAAGTAACACAAATTATTGGCATTGCAGATTAAATAAATCATATTAATTGATTATGCAACAATAACTAATATTAAAACTATAATTTGGCATTAGATAATAAATATTTAACTCTCACTACTGATGATTAAATAGTGAACCTGTAATAACATCAAGGCTGCTTGGTGAGAACTGAAAGTAGTTTCAGATTGCATTAGGTAATTGGGTGAGCCTTTAAAGGGTGCTTTGTTAGAATCTAGTTGTATGCTGAGAACATTTGCATGTTAGGTTTCTTATACATATTATTTTTATTTTAGTAGATTATTTTAGCAGATTATACTAGTAGACTATAGGGTAATTCAGATTTTGTGTTTTTTGTGTTATATCATGAAACAGGAGTTTCATGACTGCAGTTGTGAAACGCTGCTATAGTGAGTCCCCTTACCTTTTCCTTATAATAGTGTAGTAAAATTATTTTTACGTTTTTTGGTTGAGAGATTTTATTTCTGTGTTTATAAAAGTGATTTTTCTACTTCTAATGTAATTTTATTATAGTAATTATAAAATATTTTTTTCAATCAGTGAGCAATTTTAAGCTGCCTATTCCAAGATTAGGAAAGGCACAGATGAATTGGCGGGTACCCACGTATCAACCTGTAAATATTTTGTAATTAGATGAATTTAGTTAACCAACATAGAATGTTTTCATGGAAAACATTCAGAATGATGGGGCCGTACACTCCTGGATTAAATCCTGTACTTTCTTGATTGATAATTTTCCTGACCTAAGTAATAACATTAGTAGTCTTTTAGTAATTACTTGTCAGTACACTTGTAAAAGGTGCATGTAATCACACAAACCCTTTCCAGCCTCCTAGAAAGAGATGTATTGTGTCTTCTTTCATAAATGTAAATATTCCAGTCTGTGACATGTAAATGTATCCTATGGTAGTCTTTCACAAAGTGTTTTTTTTTGTGTAAACACCATGACAAATCAGTACTTTTGGCAGAGATGCGGATTATAAGGACTGATGCAGTACCTTCTCCCTGCAGTGCAAGCTGTAGTCCACCCCTAGAGCATAGATGGTCTCTAGTGCAGTCTTCACTGGTAGCGCTTTTACCTCTTTGTTTTGCTTTTGGTTTTATCATTTTAACACATCTGTGGCCCTATCGTTAACAAAAGCTGCCAATGATTGCTAATTTCTCTTCTTTTTCATACTTTTTCTATTTTTATAAACTGACTATAGACTTTAACCTGGAGAGATAGGAATTAGACATCTGAAGTAAGCAAAATGTATTTTAAGTTGCAGTGTGTCTCGACAGTTATGAATCCCATGTTTATCCACCAAAGAAATCTTAGAGTTTCACAATCAGCAAGGGGGTAATTTTCATTATACCCTATTTTATATTCAGAGACCATGCAGGAGTAGTTTTAAACTTGACATGGAGACAAATCTGTCCTGTTTGTAATGCTCTTGCCTCGGCTTCCCAGCTGCTGGAAGCATATGTGTCACCCATGGGTCCAGCTGAATATTTTGCTTAGAAATGTGCCAAAGAAGCCTCTTGCTAAAAAAATTAATATTTAAATTATTCTCGCCAATATAAAAACATAAATGTACATTGTAAATTGACTTCAAATATGAGCAATGTGTGTTGATATAAATAATAAGTAAGGTAGTCCTCATTAGGACAAGACAGTACTGCAATTTAATTCTAGCAGACACTTGAAATACAGAGTTTAATAAAGACTCAAGAAAAGGCTGTTTGCTGGAATGTTACTTAAAATAAATCTTTAAATGCAGTAATGTATAATAGAAGTCATTGGCAAGGGAATCCAGTGAGATAATAATGCCCTGTACAGTAATAAGGAATTATCTTAAATTGATTCACCAAATTTTCTACTACTGCTGTCTGAAAACTTTATCAGTAAGTTTATTACTGCCATTTTTATTATTGAGTCCTCCCTGCTATTCCGTTGCTCCCTACAAAGCAGAGCAAGTTAGCTGTAGGCTTTCTTGAAGTCTTGCTCTTCCCAGAGTTCCTATTGGAAAGTTGTTCTTTTTGTCCTAGTCTTAGTGAATGTTTACCTTTTGGTTGCCTTCTTAAAAAAATACAAATCAAGTTTTAGTAGTAGCTATTCATGGAAAAAACAAAGGTTATTCTTTAAGTTTCCATGTGAGTGCTTTTAGATACAACTTTACCAGTAAATGTATATGTATAAGTCATTATGTGATCATTTGAAGGTGTTTTGATAGAATTCAGTTGTATTTTGATAATATTTGCATGTTAGCTTTCTTATAATACATTATTTTTATTTTAATATTTTATTGTAGGAGATTATATAAGTAGACTATATTGTAATTCAGGTTTTGTGTGTGTTTATGTTATTTCATGAAACAAGAGTTTCATGACTGCAGTTGTGAAACGCTGCTATAGAAAGTCCCCTTACCTTTTCCTCAGAATAGTGAAGTAAGATAATTTTTTCTTCTATTTTACTTAGAAATTTTATTTCTGTTTTTACAGAAGTAACACTTCCACTTCTAATGTAATTTTATAATAGTATTTATAAAGTCTTTTTTTGTTCACCCAAGCATCACCTTTAAGCGGCCTACTCCAATATTAGCAAAGGCATAGATGACTTGGGAGTCCCCAGTTGTCAAACTGTAAATGTTTTGTAATTAAATGTCTATAGTTAAGCAACACAGAATGTTTTCATGGAAAACATTCAGAATGATGGGACCGTATTCTCCTGGTTTAAATCCTGTACTCTCTTTATAGATAATTATCTTGATCTCAATAATAACTTGAGTAGCCTTTTAGGAATTACTTGTAAATAGCCTTTAATAGAGCATCTAACTATAGTTACCCCTTGCAGGATCCTAGAAAGGAGGACTGATGTTTCACCTGTTTCAACACAGTGTTTACTATGACTTTTTATGCATATATATATATATATACATATTATGTAAATTCTGTGCCAAGTCAGACTTTTTGCCAGAAATGAGGATTTAGACATAGATCCAGGGTGTTGTGCATGCTGATCAAGCTTCATTCTATGCTTAATATTGATATCTTTTAGTGAAATCCTCATTGGTATCTTTCTTAGCTTTTTTTTGGTTGTTTGCTTTATTCTTTCTTTCTTACATATTTTTGACCTTATCCTTTACACGAGCTGCCAATGATTGCTATTTTTTCTTCCTTTTCATACTTTTTCTTTAAAAATCTGATTATAGATAATAATTTTATGAGACAGGAATTGGTAATCTAGAAATATGATCATCTTCTGAAGTCAGCATATTACATCAGTGAGGAAGATGGCCATCTAAGAAAATCGTTACGGAGTTTGCCTTTGACATGGCAGGACCAGCCATTTGGACAAGAAACATCACTTGCCTGGACTGCTTGACAGCATACTAAACTAACTGGACAAGCAAGTTACAAATAAAATTGACTGCTGACCTTGCCAAGGGGCAGGATGGTTCTTCATTAACCTGCTTTATCAAAAAGTCTGCCAGATATTCTGGGCCTATAAGCTGAAGAAAGATTCCCCAAATTTGGATAGCCTTGGTAGACTTTCTAGGCATCAAGATGTCTCTGTCAATTATTTTGTTTATATATTATCCTTCTGGAGTCTTTTGTGTTGTTGACGACTGAAAATAATGTTTATGCATTTCCTTAGTTAAGGTAATAAATAAGTTGCATATAAAGCTTTAAACTAACAAAGATAGGAAAGATGATAGAATATTTTCTTTAAATTCTTCAAATGTTATTGGACTAACCATTGTTATCTATAGTTTTTGCTTATTAGCTCTTGTAGTGTGTAATTGTGCTATGTTAAAATTAACCTTCATTGTTTTTCCAGACAGAAAGAGGAGATGATGTGGGATGCCCTATTGTATGATGTGAATACATGTTTCTCTTCTTGGTTGATGAATAAAGCTGTGCCAGCCAATGGTCAGGCAGGATAAAGCCAGGGAGAACATACAGGGATTCGAACCAGAGTAGGGGAATTCTGAGAGAGGAACAGAGAATGAGTCTCCAGATAGTCTCCATGTAGCTCTAGGAAGTCAGGTTGGCTGAATAGTCTCTGTTAAGGTAACCTCCCTGGAGATTTACTGATAAATAGAAATGGGTTAGTTATTAGAGATAGGTAGCCACCAATTAGCCTATACCAAAGGACAAAGAGATTATAATTTAAATAACCCTCTGTGTGTTTACTTGGGACTGAAGTGTGGCAGAATCAACATGAACACTAACTTCTGTCTACACAGAAGTGGAAAAATTACTGAGTTGCTTTGTTTTATGAACATGGTTGGCAGAGAATCCCTGTTCTCACAGTTCACATGGTCAACAATATGTTCCTGAGAAACAGTATTGACCCCAGTAGTCATTGTCTAAATGTCATATGCAAACATGTGTTGGGGATTTTTTTTTGCACCCTTGCCCAATTGTTTTTTGCAAGTAACAAAACAATGGGAAAGAGTTTCAACATAACCAGCCTTAGCTTTTCGTAAATTTGGGGGTTAAGTACGAACAAATCTGGCTGAAGAAATGTTACTTTTATTTTGGTCAAATTATTATGTATGCTCTGACTTCTTTAATTTTCATTACCTAAAATCTATGTGTTCCACATGGCTGTATAAGTATATACATAATTAAAATGTAACTCAGAAATATGAATTGTTATTGGAGTTTGCTATTTGCAAAAAGATTTACTCCTATTGTATCAAGCTCATGTTACCTTGTAAAGACAAATATTCTATGAAGAATGTTTAAGCTATTCAAATTCTTGTGCCTCCTTACCCATAAGACATGAAAAATTATGATCTTATATTAACTATGTATACCCTCATTAATTTTGCCTTAAACATCATGCATTGTTTTATTAGCCACAAAAAAATCTTAGAGAAATTCATAAAACAAGTAATAAACTATGTGAGCATACCTTTTCAAAACTGAGTAGTTTTGTTGGTCCCAAGAATGGAAGTGTGTGGGTGGGGGGAGTGGGTGTGGGTGTCTCTGCATGTGTGGTTGGATAAGTCGGGGAAGAAGTGGATGTTACTGCCACCGCCAGGTAGACTGGCAGCACCGGACTGGCGGTGCTGCCGGACTGGGAAGGGAGCCCCGCCTCCGTCCTAGGGCCGGGCCTGGGCTGATAGGCTGGGAAGGTGGAGGTGGTGGAGCCAAAGCCCCTGGGGCGGGCTGCAGCTGTTGTTGCTGATGGTGGTGGTGATGCTGACACCAATGCACTGCAGCTATTTTTCCAGACCCCAGTACTGTCACTGGGGCAAAGGCATCACCGCCTGCCCTCACTTCCGGCTTTTGGAACAATCATAACCCAACACACCGAAAAGGATTCTTGCTGTAGAGGGCAGAGCACAAGAGATGAGGCAAGTATTGGGAGTTCAGAGACCACCCAGCTGGGGGCGTTGCTTTGTAGCAGAGGGGCAGGCTTTTGTGATGCCGTATGGGGCTGGGTTGGCAGATGTGAAGGCCAGGAAGAGCCAATTGCCCGCCTGGGAAACTTCTTTCCTTCACTGTCTGCTGGATTGCTTTCACTTGGCCCACCTGAGGAAAAAGTGTCAGTCGGTCCTGTCGGGCTTCAGAAGCAGCTACTGAAGTGTAACTTGGTTCAAACATCTATCAAAATGTGCTCACCATAGAAATGGAATAGTACCCACCTCACAAAAAATTGTTTGTAGGGATTAAGTGATATAATGAATGCTAAATGCTCGAGAAATCCTTAACAGTTAAGTAGCACATTGAGATTTTTTTTAATTACAATGTTGGATCTCCGTATACACCTATTATCTCTTTGTTCACTTTATGATTGATACATAACAGGCAGGAAGGAGAAGGACGCTTTTATGGTCTATAAGGGTACATTTGTACTTAATACTGTAGAAAGGAATCCATGCAGGTACACATTGTCAATTGCTCGATTTGTTTGTTCCAACTCGGGGTGCCTTAAGAGGAATGCAAGGCTTGGTGGCTTTGGGAGTATGAATACTCAACAAACCTAACTTGAAAGAGAATGCAGAGGGACAGGTGCAAGCAGCGAAAAAAGGGTGCTAGTCATGACTCTCATGCTGCCCACCTGACCAGAGAGACAGGGACAAACTCTGGAATGATTGACATCCTTTGTTTCCTTTTGCTACCGGGGAGATGACAAGTAAAATAGATCTCTAAAATGCTAACCCTGTCTTCTCAGATTACAGACCCTCTGAAGAAAGAATTTCAAAGCATCATCTTGTCTCTGATTGTTGGCATTTGTGGCAACTGGCTGCACAGACTGTGATAGTCTGGCCAGAGTTTTCCCTGTAAGTGTTCTCACTCTGTTGCTTTGCTAGAAGCCAGTTTTAAACGGTGATTCAGGTAGCCCCGATTGAAATCCAAGCCCCGCCACTTCCTGGCTGTGTACATTTAAGCGAGCAACTTAACCAAGCATTCTGCCAATTTCCCTTTTGCAAGATCAACAAATTTGATTAAATGTTAATTAAAAATAAGTTTTTGTAAAAAATTCTGTCTTTGTACTTTTAATTCCCATCTTAATTTTTAACTAATTGTGAAAATGTTTCTTTTTCATACTTTTTTTTAAGTTTGGCTCTTTTCCCTCCATTCCTCTCCACTGCCCTCCACACTCCCAAACTGTGACTAAAAGCCTGATTTCTGCTTATAATGAATCATTAATGTACCATTTTTCTCTATCCTTCCTCTAACTATCGATTTTGTGTGAAATCAACAGCAGTACCCATGAATGAGATAATTTCAGTGAGGTGTCTGTTTCATACAGATTTTTCAATAGTGAAATAGATTTTTGGAACTACACACTAACAGCCTTGTCATAACAGAGTGCACTCATGGAGAGTCTTTCCTAACAAAAAACAAAATGGATAAAGCAGAATATCAATCCAATGGTTATTTCAAGTGTTCAATGCATGATGTTACTATCCCATTGCAATGAATGGGTTAATTTTGTCATATCAACGAAATACAATAGGATCAGGAATATGAGTGGTATTTGGTTTTCATTAAATCTAGGACTAAGGGTTATAAGTCTAACCGTATCCTCATATCTTATACATTTTTGCCCTTTCCCACAGTCACATTTGACAAAGGGTAAGGATATAGTAAAGAACAGTTAAATCAGGCAACCACATATGTTATACTAGTTTTGACTCTTTTTCTGTGCACAAATGGTATTATATATGATGTTCTAATTTATAAACCTTTACATGTTTCAAGGAATACATAAATAGTTCAATATTAGTATTTCAGATCTATTAAACCCAGTTATTCTTTGGTGTGCCATATATTGCTTCCTTGCCAAATCCACCAACACAAGGCAGTGCTGTAACTCAATCAAAGCAATGTTATTTCTGTATCTTAGTCTTAGGGAAATATGTCATTTTTAAATCAGAAATGCCCAAGGTACTACTGGCTCAGATTTCTCTGGAAAATGTTACATTCTCTTAGCTAAAGTTCCAACCAGAAATCTATATGAGTCACAATGACAAAGGAGCCCAACAGTTACCAAGGCAGCCATCATAATGAATGAATGAATTATATCAGATGAGGCTTAGTTTAAAAAAACAGAAACAACTTCTTATAAAACAATCAAATGACAGTAATTCAAAGGTGACCTAACAAAACTGAATTTGCTTTATAAGATAAACTCTTACATACTAGGACCACTTGATGCCATAGAAGTTAAGAATGCATACTCTACATGTCAAATGTTTGATTATGAATCCTGATTTTGTCATATTTAGGATTAATACATTTGCTACCCTAGAGTTTGGGGGGATATATGTGCATGTATGTACACATATGTGTGGAGACCAGAGGATAACTGCAAGTATCATTCTCCAGGTGCCATCCATCTAGTCTTTCATTGAAAGATGGGATCTTACCACGTGGAACTTTCCAAACAGATTAAGCTTGCCAGCCAATGAGTCCCAGGGAGCTGTTCATATCTTTCTCCCTAACTCTGAGATTACAAGTCATGCTTAAAAACATGGGTTCTGAGATGCAAACTTGCAAGGAAAAACTTATGCCACCATACATTTAAAAAAGATAGCCAAAACCCTTTTTATTCCACTTAAAAATGATGTTTGGCCAATAAAATATTCCTTTCCTTATAAACATTTTCTCAGAAGTAATAAGAATAAACATTTACTCCATTAAAGATTATCTCACACAGCACATGCGCGCGCACACACACACACACACACCCCACGTATTGAGTTGACAAACAACCAGTGCAGCTTCTTGATAGAAATCAATGAACAAAGCTGTTTAAGTGATATGTAAAAGCTTTCTAGCACCAGCTCGTCCCATATCTTGTCCTTGGGTTGTTATTTTGGTGTTCACTAACTTAGCAAAAAAATATTCAGGACAAATCATTGAACTTTTAATTAGTTAATTAATTATTTAGTTGGTTAGTTAGTTATTTGGTAAGTCATCATATATAAGGTGGGAATTAACAGGTGTCCGAGTTTTGAACTTTATCCTGATTTCTTAAATAAAACAGACTCTAATCTTCAGAGAAGTTCAAATCATTCCTTCTGGCTGTAAGGAGGAAGTGGCCATTACAAAGGAAGGAGGACACCTCAGCCTGGAAAGTAAGAGTTTCTTTCAAAAGATTCTGCCACAGTACTGAGAAAACAACGCGACTGCATTATAGTGTTGGAGTTTAGGGCCAACAATTCTAGAGGAAACACAAAAGCAAAAATCTGAGGCTGGAGAGATGGCTCAGAGGTTAAGAGCTTTGACTGCTCTTCCAGAGGTCCTGAGTTCAATTCTCAGCAACTACAGAATGGCTCACAACCATCTGCAATTCAATCTGATGCCCTCTCTGTATATAATAAATAAATCTTTAAAAAATAAAAATGAAAATCCCAAAACAAAAACACAGTCTCCACTTTCACTGATTAGAAGAAGGGAACTCAGTTTGAATCAAGTATGTTGGCACAAAGGGAAGGAAGGGGCTCTAGTAACAACAAAAAGGAGTGATACCAAGACAGTGTTTTCTTTTTATGTAGTGGTCATATTGGTGCACCTGTAAGTGCAGAGATTGGAATGTGCAGATGGGGGATACGGAACACTGGTTATCTAGACTAGCCATTTTGGACAGCTCTGGATTCAACAGAGAAGCTCTTTCTCAATCAAAAGACAGAACAACGGAGGAAGACTCCCAAAGTCAGTTTTGGCTCTCACATATCCATCTGTGCACATACACAAACGCATATCAACATATATTACATATTACTTAATATTTACAATTTAACTAAAAATACCTCATTTTTATTAACACCCATCTTTCATTTCTTAAAATAAAACAGGCATTAAATATATAATTATTTCAATTCTAAAAACTTACTATATGCATACTTTGTATCTTATTCCTTTCCATTTCCCCTACCCATCCTCCAATTTCCCTGACACATCCAATCTACCCCTGAGCACTGCAATTTTATTGTTTTAAAACAATAAGTAAAATACATAATCACCCTGTGTAGAATTGTTTTAGGCATATTTTGGGCACAAATAACCAACCAATGACTGATGTCTACTCCACCAGATACACAAACAAAATGACTATTTCTCAATCAGAAGCTGTCACAAATTTTAGTTTTACATAGTTTGATTTCCTGATAAAGACACTCATCTAGGTGCAGATAAGCACTCTCCTTTCTGAATAGCTTTCATAATGCTGGGAAATATTTCACAAGTTTCTGAAAGGAGAGCAGTCATTAGTCAAAGAATGCTGTCCCATGAATTCTAAAACAGTTATTAGCAAATACTTGGACATAAGCTACATGTGGGACCAGTGGTTGGACTGTGACCTCCCCCCAAATCTTCCACACAGTGTCATCTTTGTTGCTATTCTGATGCTTTGATGTTAAAGCTGTTTTAAGATACTGCCACACTACCCCTTGAGAAAAGGCGCTTA